ATACTGTGATGTACGCTATTATTCAAAAGTTTGGGGTCAGTACATTTAACTTACATTTAAAAAATATTATTATTATTTTAAAGAAATTAATACTTTTATTCAGCAAGGATGCATGAAAAATGCAGTTCCTTTAAGCTTTCTATTCTTCAAAAAATCCTGGGAAAAAAAAATGTATCGGTTTCCACAAACATTTTATCACAACAGTTTTCAACATGGATAATAATCAGAGATGCTTCTTGATCAGCAAACCAGCATATTAAAATGATTTCTGAAGGATCACGTGACACTAAAGACTGGAGTAATGATGCTGAAAATACAGCTTTGTTCACAAGAATAAATTACAATTTAAAATATGTTCAAATAAAAATAAAAAAACAGCCATTTTAAATTGTACAAATATTTCATAATATTACAGTTTTATTGTATTTATGATCTAATAAATGCAGCCTTGGTGAGGATAAGAGACTTTTCATAAACCTTAAAAAAATCTTATTGCCCCAAAATTTTGGTAGTGTATAATCAAAATCATATTCACATTCATGTGCCAAAACATAATTACAATCATACTTTACAATTTAAATGTATTACATATTTGGCAAATGAAAGAGAATGAGATTTTGATGCATTACAGTACGCCAATTACATATGTAAATGTGCTTAATTGTCAAAAACAAAAATATCAAAATAGCTTAATTTCTTTATAAAATATGAAACATGTTTCTTGACAGTTTTCAGATTCAACCATGCGTAATGTTACCTCTGCTGACCAAATTCCATTTAGTTTGGGAATTAATTTCCATTACTTCTTGGAAGAACTTCCATTTCACTCGTCCTCTTTAAAATGCAAAAACTAAATGCTAGATTAACAAACGCATTATGGCTGCCTCGCCATGCAAAGTGTAGAGTGAGATGGCTAAATACAAAGACATTGTCTAAATGGCTGTTTCCATGGAAACAGAATCCACAGATCTCTTTTGAGAAAGCGATTTAAAAGATTTGTAACATATGATTAGAATGAGAAGAAACAGCACACCAATATTCAGAGTGTGCTCATTATTACCACCACTAAAGAAACCGTCAGAACTGTAAGCAAGAGGCCAAAACCAAACAGACTCAAATTGAACTTTGTGGATCTGCATCCTTATTTTCTTAAAGGGGTCATATGATGTTGCTAAAAAGAACATTATTTTGTGTATTTGGTGTAATGAAATGTGTTTATCCGGTTTAAGGTAAAAAAAACACATTATTTTCCACATACTGTACATTATTGTTTCTCCTCTATGCCCCGCCTTTCTGAAACGCGTCGATTTTTACAAAGCTCATTGGTCTGAAAAGCGAGGTGTGCTACAAATACTTCCATCTAAGTTTTTGAAATGACCTCCCTGTTTCTTATTTAGCAGAACTGGCGATGTTTTATAGTTTCCAGCAAAGGAAATCTAAGAGAAACTCTAGTAATGTGCAACCAAGTTAAGCTGCTGACATATTTGGCCTCTGTGAAAGTTTTTCTTCTTTTCCCAGCAGGCCTACCACTAAATGTCACCAACAAACCATGCATAAAAGCACTCTTACTTAAAAACAAAATGCCAAACTCTAACAATAAATTATTGAAAAAATAAATCATTCATCTATTATTGATAAAAGCTTTCGTTTCACTGCTTTGAATTTACTAAGGCTCAAGTTCTGCATTACAAAAAATCACAATAACCATTCAAATAAACATATCTGATAATAGATCATTGTGAGAGACTAAAACACATGAATGAATACGGGCATGTTTCTGAAATACTGTAATTCTACTGGCTGTAATGAAGGGTTAGGATCTGTAGAGCACAATTAGCAAGACAACCTTATATAATGCTGTCCACATTGCTTGAAAAAACAAACAAATGTTTGCCAGGTCTGCCATAAAAAAATTTATCTTTATTCACAAGAAAAAAAAAGAATTATATTTGAAATGAAAAATGGTCAGCTGCTCCCAACACTTCCACTATGTATGCCCCTCAAAAACACAACGTTACATCATATTAATGTCTTTAATATATGCCCTTCACTCAGCATATAGTACATTTTTTCCCATGTCTGGTTGCATTAATAACAACAGCCACATCCTTGCATTCTAGATTTCCCTTGAGGGATTTGACCAGCTGGCTTAAATCTTTAATCTTTGCTGTATCAAAAATAACATGCTTGGTTTTGTGGTTAGAGCCTGAGAGAGCTGTCCTCCACTGACCCTCATCCTCTGATCTACACATCTCCTCCATCAGAGCTGTCAACCGACATTGTAACCTACATCACTACAGGAGAGTTTAAAGGGTCGAATCATGACAGACTGATCTTTATTTTGAAACAAAATAATATTTTGAAACTAAACCCCTTATCAGATATGGTAGTTTTATATGGGCAAGTGCGATACTATAAAAATTACCCAAACTTCTCGATAATATATTTAGAAATTTCAGCTCAAATATGAATCTGTCTATCCATAATATTGCTTTTTCCAGTGAAAAAATGATCTTGACTGAATCAGGAGAGAAATATGAACAGACCAAGCACTGTTTATAAGAAAAGAAGAGTCCAAAACAAAAGTTCTAATCAAACAAGTCAGTGGATTTTGACGTGGGAGGAGAACAGAGGATGGACTTTTTCACTGGAGGAAGCGTTATTATGGATAATGGATGCATATTTTAGCTGGAAGCAATAGTTCAAAGTTAAAATGCCTTGGTAATGGATTTGTTTCTTACAAACATGCAGCTTTTCACAAGATGTTAACTGATGGACTGGAGTGGTGTGGATTACTTGTGGATTATTGTGATGTTTTTATCAGCTGTTGGTCTCTCATTCTGATGGCACCCATTCACTGCAGAGCATCCATTGGTGAGCAAGTGATGCAATGCTACATTCCTCCAAAATTGTTCCCATGAAGAAACAAACTCATCTACATCTTGGATGGCCTGAGGGTGAGAAATTTTTTAGCAAATTTTCTTTTCCTTTACAAAGGGGTTGTCAGTAAGAGAGTGGAAAATGGACATAAAATACTATTTTGGGCTCGAAAGACATTATAAATGGACCCTTGTAAAATAATAATAATAATAATATTGAATATTGTGACAGTACATGGACAAACAACAATTTTGGGCAATCTTTACACCACAATCTTGCAGGACAGAAAAACTCTGTTTTAGTCTGTTTTAGTGAAACGATAAACTTTCTCTGTCAAGATATTTCTGAGAAGAGTTTAAAAATAAAGCAGATGGGGAGCAAAAGAGTTTTAGGTGTTCTAGCAGACATGTAGTCTGTGAAAAAGTTCGATTTTATGTTCCCATGTGACGCATAACAGCAGAAGCTTCAACATACAGATGTTCATGGTGTGCTCTTTTCTGAGTAAATACTGTTAGGTCAAGGAGGTGAGCAATCTAGAAAGGTCAGATGAAGTAGTACAAAGGAAGAAAATTACACCTGACAGTGAATGTAAAAGGTATACAAAGTAAGACATGGACTTATGCTTTGCTGCCCGTTGCTCCAAGAACTTGTACAAATGACCACCAAACATCAAATATAAGTCAATACAACAAGCAAACAACCAAAAGCGTTAGTATATGAGAATGAATCAATCTAGAAGTCCTCTCCGTTACTGAAAGCGAACACCATCAGAAGAAAACAGCATTCATATCGTCTAAACAAACACAGGTTAACAAAACCTGCTAGTTTAAAAGCATCGTAAATTAATGATTGATTATGATACCAGGATTTTTCTTTTCACAAAAATATCCATTAAATTATCCATTAAAGTTGCAATGAAACAGAAGTAGCAGCAGATCTTTTTTCTTCCTTATTGTGACGTACATCCAAGTGTAATGGATTATCGAAAAAGAAAAAAAATTAGGATAAACACCTGGTTTTATGCATGAGTTTGTTGATTGGAGTTTTGAATTGTGGGCATTAAACTAAAAAATGATTGCAAGCTTGCAGTGGATTGTAGGTGAGATTTAAGTAGACTAAATGATTCAATACTTTGAATTGATTGAGTTAAGACATTGTGATTAAACATTATATAATTACATATATAACATATAGGCCTATATGGATGAATCGTTCACAGTAAGATCTATGACATGCATTTACAAAACAGATTTATGCAGACTAAATTTAGTCAATATGTCGTCACGTTATATTAATTAATTTGAGCAAATTTTACTCTGAATTTATGGACAAAAAAGTCCAACTTTTTCATCTGTATTTTGCTCTACCCAGGCTCATTTGCCTCAACTCAAGCTTCTGCAAAACTTAAAAAAATTTCCAAATCGAAAATTATACTGTACTCTATGTACGAATCGCTATAGTTACCAGTTGAAATGAACAATAGAGGCAGTAAAACTCCAACAACTTTTATTCCTTTTCACACAAAGTATGATAGGGCCATAGTTTTGATTAAGAAAGCTTAATTTTGCACGATATTATGATACGACGTCAAAACAATTTTAGCATGCTGTGAGATTTAAAAAGCTTCATGTTTTTCGCATGATTTTTTCCCGCACACTCAGATTCCAGATTTTCAAATAGTTGTATCTCGGGCAAATATTGTCCTATCCTATCAAACCACAAATATCAATGGAAAGCTCATTTATTCGGCTTTCAGATTATGTAGAAATCTCAATTTAAAAAAATGACCCTTATGACTGGTTTTGTGGTCCAGGGTCACATATTTAGATTTTTCCGCACCCTCAGATTCCAAATTTTCAAATAGTTGTATCTCGGCCAATTATTGTCCTATCCTAACAAACCATACATAAATGGAAAGCTTATTTATTCATATGTATAAATCTCAATTTCAAAAGTTTTGTGGTCCAGGGTCACATATTTTCAATGAGCCTGGGTTGATTTTGTTGATGAGATTAACACTGGTGGACGGCAACGTTACTGTTTCTGACCACAATCTGTTCTTGTTTCAAATGCAACTCCATCAGAACCACATTGGTAAATATAACGCTAGTCTCACTTACTTCAGGACGTGTGTCGAGCCGTTGATCTGCGTGGCCGTGCAGGTCTTTCCAGGGCCCAGGATGGAAGGTCGGCGGTAGCGCTTGTGTCCGCAGCAGAGAATGATGAGGAAGGCACGACGAAAGGACTTGTTGAGGAAGGCGTAGAGGATGGGGTTGAGCATGGAGTTGATGTAGCCCAGCCAGAGGCAGGCCGCCCACAGCTGCTCAGGAACACTGTAGTCTATAAAGGGGTCCACCACGTTCGTGATGAAGAAAGGGGCCCAGCACAGGCAGAAGCAGCCCATAATGATGCACAGAGTCTTGGCCGCCTTGGTCTCGGTGCGCATGCGGTGGTTGCGTTGGTGGTCCGCGCTGTTTGCGTTCCCCGCTCCTCCGGCCCGCTGCAGCATGCTGATCTGTCGAGCGTGTGCCCGCGCCGTGACGTAGATGCGCTGGTACGCCAGCACCATCAGGATCAGCGGTACGTAGAAGGCCACGACCGAGCAGGTCAGCGCATATGGTTTGTTCACCATAAACACACACACCGTGGAGTTGCCAGAGAACCTCCGCTTCTCTATCTGTCAAGAGGGGGATGTTGACACATTCAGATTACACACACACACTAAAGAATGTACACTCTTAAAAAGTAAAGATTCCAAAAGAGGGTTTTATCAGCAATGCAGTTGAGGAACTTTTTTTGTTTTGTTTTTTTTAACCAACAGAATGATTTTTTTCCCCTTGGTTCTTTGCTTCTTAAAGTTTTAAAATCTTAAGAACTTTTATCCACTATTAAGAACCTTTTCTGCAACTGAAAGGTTCCATTGATGTTAAAGGTTCTTCTTGGAACCACAGAGAAATGTTATTCTTATTTTTGGTTCTTCAAAGCACCTTTCAGTGAACAGTTCTTCAAAGAACCATGTAAAGAACATTATGAGGAGTTCATTTGCAAAAACCGATAAACGCCACTTTAAAATAAAATTTGCAGATTGCCGTGCATTAATCTCCACATATAGCGCGCTCTGAACCCTAAACACATTTGGTCAAAAAAGCAGTTTTTTTTCCACTTTCAAGGCATCGCGAGTTCACGTTTTACTGCAGAAGCTTACAAGAGCCCTTGTTGTTTTTGAACCGAAGCCGATAAGTCAATTTTAGCGAATCAGCGCGCTGTATTCAGGTCAGGTGACAAGGCTACTTTCACTTTGAAAAGACGTGCTAGCTGAGAGGAGTTTCGTCAAAGCTGACTAAAAGTGATCGAGGATGGATCAATTTGACGAACTTGATGAACCTGTGATATCTTCTTCAGGGCGAAAAAGGGAAATAAAAGCTGAAACGTTTTCACGGAAGCTTGCAAAATCAGCGCATTACAATGGTGAGGAAAAAGCTCTGTGTATCACATCCATACAGTTTATGATCACAACAACAACAACGTTTGTCAGGCATCTACATTGTCATAGAACATAACTTTTAATATGTAAAAAAACATACGGTTACACTTATAGACATTTGCTTTCGATAGTCCACTTTAGACATTCTATTAGCTATAAGTAACTTTGTAACTACATGTCAACTACATGTCAACTAATTCTCATTAATTTGCAACTACATGTCTACTAACTCTCAGAGTAGACTGTTAGGGTAGGTTTAGGGTTAGTAGAATAAGTTGACAAAGAAAGTGTTAGAAGATATTAAGCAGACAGTCTACTAATACTCTACTAACTGCTAGTTGACATGTAGTTGCAAAGTTACTTACTGTTAATAGAATGTCTAAAGTGGACTATCGAAATAAAGTGTTACCAAACATACTTTCAGTGAACTTTAATTTTGTAAATTACCTGTATTTGTTTAAGTTATTATTACTTAATCAAAACAACCCAACTGCAGTTTGATTGATATTACTTGGAATGCGCAATAAAAAAAACGTGATTACACTTTATTCTGATAGTCCACTTTAGACATTCTAACTATAAGTAACTTTGCTATAAGTAACTACATGTCAACTAACCCTCATTAGAATATTATTAGACTGTTAGTAGAATAACTTATATAAATAAAGGTGACTTGAACAAATCTAAAGAACCGGTTTCCACCATAAGGAACCTTTTGTGAAATGGAATATTAAAGATTCTATCACAGATTCCAATAAAGAACTTTCATTTTTAAAAGTGTTGGATGTTCTTTCACTAGTTTTCAGTGCTCAGCAGCTTCTCCCTCTGTTTCTGTTCATTAATATTCAACTCCGTGTGTCTTTGGCTTCAAGGAACAGTCATTTGAGGAGACGTTTTAAGAGCAGAGGTGACTACTCACAATACTTCATCTGGTCAAACACAAGCACCTTCAGGTGTGGAAGAGACCTCGGCTAGAGGGCATGAGTCTGTAAATATCTTGCTCCCAAAATACACTATTTAATTCCTCAGCACTTCATATTAATAAAAAATGCTTGACATTCAAACCATGTGACGTATGGCACTATATTAAGTGCATTACGTTTGTAACTAGTAAATTAATTACACATTAAATTCAGCCTCTGATGCATGATGTCCTCTAGTGTGGAAAGATTTTGAAGTCATTCAGGGTGTGATGATACATTTAAACCATCATGTGTGATGACCTTTGCTTATAATTCTATATGAATGTCATCTTTATGGCAACATTTACACAGCAGTTGTCACTCTTCGTACATGCTGAATGCTGTTCTTTGGTAACATGCACATTCAACTCATTAAATCCATATAGTGGGAACAGACAGTGACGTCACTCTCTCTTGGACGCTGACAGCTTGTCTGAGGAAAATCACAGAAACAGAGGTAAGTGTCTGTCTGTCTCTAGCATATAACTGCTTTTATCAGCTCTGCAGTCTTTGTGTAATCCATACTGTACAGTGCAAAGCATAAAAACAGTGCTGTTTAAAAGTAGCAGCTTTGATTTAGAAAACGTTTGGGGTCACTAAGATTTGTATTAATTCTTTTATTTTTTGAAACAAGTTTTATATTTTTATTAAGCACGCATGCGTTAAACTGATTCCACAAGTGGAAGAGCAGCAAATCAGCATATTAGAATGATTTCTGAAGGATCATGTGACACTGAAGACTGGAGCAATGATGCTGAAAATTCAGCTTTGCATCACAGGATTAAATTTCATTTTAATATATATTACAATAGCAAACAGTTATTTTAAATTGTAATAATATTTCATAATGTTACTGTTATTTCTGTATTTTTTTATTAAATGAATGCAGCCTTAGTGAGCATGAGAGAAACACATAAGTTCTACCGACCCCAAACTTGCACATCTTAAATATAAACATCTTTATATAAAGAGCATGCTTCACATATTTTGTGATTTTTGGCTGGATAAGCCAATGAAAAACCACAGAGAACAATGTCAGACTGTTATCCCATCAAACTATGTTCCAGTTAGAAATGTTATTGTATTTAATGAATGTGCAATTAGTGACATACATTAGAAAAACAGTGGTTAACCCCACAATTAACATGAATAATAGCTAAGACTAAATAGTCATTGTAAGTGAAGAGAGCTTGATGAGAGAAATTAACAGATACTTTTTTTTTATCTGATCCAGAGCAGTAAGACTAATAAAATTAAACACACAAACACTTTTTTCTTTTTTACAAACAGCCTAGTGCTGATTTGATTCACAGAGGGAAGTATCATGATGAGAGCTATTAATCACAGTTCATCTGCATCTCTCTCCTGTCTGCTCCTCCCAACACTCTCAAATCATAACGCTGAGCCCTCCAAGCTCGAAACCCAACACCAAACACTATCAATAATAAAAAACTCATGAACTGCAAACATATTTCACATCAGTATAAGACTTGGCCCATGCTATCATTGATAATCAATATCAAGCCGCTAATTAGTTCCTTTGAGAAGAGCTTTTGGCGGAACGGGAACCTTGACTCTTTCACATCTGTAAGTAACTTATAAGTATAGGTAGCCATTAACGTAATGCCTGTGAACCAATGCAAAAGACTCCAGACGGCAGAATGCCAACTATTTACTTTGAATAGAATACTAATTCATCTAGCCAACTATTTACTATAAATAGAACACTAATTCATTCTTTTATATTTTTTTTCATTCTTGAAATTTCAGTTTGAAGGAAGCTCCAAACTTAGACGGAGAAAACCACTTCAAATCTCAATTATTTCTTTGGATAAATTAGCTTAGGGCTTCCCAAGCTTTGTTGAATCCCTTAGATGTAAAATATTTACTTGAAGTACGGCCTGAAAGGTAAAGATAAGGGGTTTTATTTTTATTGTTTATATTATAAAACTATATATATATATATATATATATATAGGGCTGCACATATATCATAGTTCGTATTATTATTATATACTTTGGAAATGTAACAGGTTACAGAAGTTACCCTATTTAAAATGTAACAAGTTGTGAAACGATTTCAATTACTTTATTAAAGTAGTGTAACTGATTACATTTGATTACTTTTCTAGATATCTAACAAATGTTTTCAACTGTTAATTATGTTCAAACATTTAAAGCAGGCAGGGTTAACTTTACAGTATTACTCAACACTGAGTACGGTCAGACTTTCCAAATCCTTCATCACTTGAATTAAAATTATGATCATTTCATTTTAAACCACAGCCGCCACAAAATCAGATTTCAGCACCTCTTTTTACTCTGAAGTTGTTCTGAGGTTAAATACAGATTTAAAATCATAACAAGAAATAGTTTAAATTCTTTGCATAGCTACGAGGAAACACTGGTATCTAACAATGCCTTGGAAAGAAACAGTTAATCTTAAAAAATCAAGCATATACATAATCCAGAAAAATCCAGAAAAAAATAAAACTGATCAAATAATCATGTGTCCTAAACTCCTAAAACATTGGTGCAGTCAATGCAATTTGGGAAAGAAATCAATTAAAATTGTGTGTGTGTGTGTGTGCGCGCATGCATGTGCATGAAAATATTCAAATGTAAAACCCTTTGTAATCATTCATATTTTAACAAGAAACTAAATAAATTACACATTTTTTCTCAGTAACTATAACTGATTACAGTTACTTTTTTGTAATTAAACTAAGTAATGCTGTTACATGTAACTACTACTACTAGTAGTAGTATTATATTGCTTTTAAAAAATTAAGATTAAGGGACAGATTTACTAACAGCTTGCGTAAACCGTCTTTTGGCATTAAAATAGTACTGGCAGGATTTAATAAAGACACGCAGTAAAGAATTAGCACTGAAAAGATGTGGACAGTTAATTCTGTGCCTGACCTTGTTGAATATGCCTTTGTAGGAGTTAACCTTTCAGACGCAAAATTTATGGGAGGAGAGTGTTAAAATGAATCATGCAACGTGATTTACTAATGTTTGCGCTCATCGAATTGCTGGTATTTGTGCCATTATTTAACGCCCAAAAAAGCATGTTTTAAAGCAGGCGGTAATTTACGCTGCTCTTCATAGATTGCGCTGTCATTATGGAAATGATCTGGCTGTGTCTGTGTTCTTTAATGTGCGCATTGTTAGTGTCACGCTTACACTGTGTAACGTCTGGACCACTCAAACACACAATATATATTTTGTTAGCCAGATTTCACAAATACTTTGTAACACCCCAGGACGCCGAACAGGACCCTGGTTTCATGGTAACCCGATACATTTACAACCTTGTGGAATGCGAGCCGACCCTCAGCTGCATTCTCCAGAAACAAGGGGCACAAATGCACAGGAGAAATGGACTTTTCTACTAATTAATTCATAGGAAAACCTTTCTTTGAACGAACACACATATTCTTCAGGCCATTGTGTATATTATTGCTGTTTTGTATTAATCTGTTGTATTATAGAATATTTTATTCATGCTTACGATAAACCACTCATTCATATAACCTTACAAATACCGTGTTTAGTATCTATGAATTCGCCTTCTGATGATCTAAACAAGATTGTATATTATATGTTGATACATAGGCAATATATTAGTGTCCCAAAGAGTCAAAGAGTCGTAAACCCTCCAGCAATTGCCACCTCCCGCTAGGAAAGTCTGAGGATCGATGGAGACAAGGAGTATAATAAACAGTCTTTTTAATTCACGAAACTCTGGGGTAATCCAACACAGGCGCGAAGAATGACACATGTACAGACAAAGTAAAAACGGGAAGACAGGAGCTTAAATGCTAGGGATAATTGGAGATACACAGGTGGATCACATAAGACAATCAGACTAAACGAGGACAGGAAAATGACCAAATAAGGAAACCCCACCGAATTTTCCCCTCCCATCGGCGCTTTTACGGTGCTTTTATCACAATCGCTCTGTAAAATAAAAAAAATTGTATTTGATAATTACAGGCATAATAATGGTTTCATTTTACACTGCAAATTACAATGCTATTAGTATGTCTTAAATTCTCAATTTTCTAATGTTTAAATCTTCGTGCTGTTATTTTAGTGGAATAGCTACTGGTTAAATGCTGTAAAAGGATGAAAATGGTGCGAACGAGTAAATAAAGTGAACATAGCATACAATATGTTCCCAAAATGCAAGTTAAATGAGTTTGTGATATGCAGCGTTTACTGTAATCCAAGCCACATTTAGGTGCTATATCACGATTTCAGTTTTATTTTAATTAATTGTGTAGCCACATCAATTTATTTTAACTTTGTGCTCAGTTTAATTGTATGTATTAGATGTATTAGATACATCTGGTCAGTTACCAAAGACTGAAAACAGAAATGGTGTCACATGAAACTCATGAAACATCACATTGTTCAAGCACGAGGAAACCATAGAGAAAAACATTTCCTTTCTCCAGCGTGACTTAATTATGGTGCATCAGTCTTCACCCAGGGTCATTTTTGTTTGTTTACTGGTAAGTAACGGATTAAGTTCCCTACCTGAGGCTCTGGCATTTAATTTTCTCTTCAATCATCCCCCCCTCAAAGCTGGTCTTTACATACTGCAATTGCTTTCTTAGAAACACGCACAAGCTTGGCTTCTATGCATGGATGCATAATTGCCTTTTGTAAAATGCATAGAAAGCGGAGGAGATGCCTGAAAAAGACTTTGCATGCGTCACAGGTTTCCCTCATAATCACTCCCTGCACATTTTATAGAGCATTTTAATAATCTACGCTTGCCCTGATTGCAAGGTGAGAGAATCAGAGAAACATCATTATTACAAGAATCAAAGTCAGACTGCCTTCGCAAACCTTATCAGCACAGTCGACCATCTGATGGATGTGACTCACCAAATCATTTATTCCAATACTGTTCCAGCCTTGCATTATGGGTAGGAAGGAAATAACGGTTGGGATTATCCAGCATCCTCCGATCATTAGAGCCACTCGCAGTGGTGTCATCTTATTCCTGTAAACCAGCGGCTGGCAACAGATGGCATAGTACCTGGAAGGAAAGGTAAAGAAACAGCATGTTGAATACTATTCATTTCTCCAGCCATATAGTACATACAAAATCATTAAGATGAAATAACTGTATATAAACACTGTTAATTGTACATACATGTGGATACAAATATTAATACGCAACCACAGGTATACATTTTCTTGGAAAATGCATTTTCAATATGCATGTGAAAGACAACAACCTTGAAAAACCTGAAGGATGATGACCTGTCAGTGGCCCTGACTGACAAAATGTCAACCTATTCAAGCATCTGGAAGACTCAGAAAAAACACATTCTGTCAAGCTGCTAGAGCTTTTTAACCTTTCTGGTCTGCTTTTCTAATCAGCTCAAGGTTGTCTAAAGGTGCAGTGTGTAAGAATGACAGCTAGCAGCTGAAATGTATAATGCAGTCCAAATTCAAAATATTGGAGAGCGTTGTTTCTCTGGTCTCTCCTCCTCAGACTCGACGCTCACGCGGGTTGCCAGATTGAGGACACGCAACAGGAACGACTGCAACTGACAATGGAAGGCAACAAGCCTTACACTGTAAGTTAATGAGTTGATTTATCCGCGTTTTAATATTCCTCTGGTCATAGAGCTTTTTAGACGGACGCCGAGGCTTTTTAGGTCGGGTGGAATCTGCGATCTTTGCCAGTTCGTTTGCTGGCTTCCATGGCTGCAATACACTGTGTTTTCCACCAACTGGCAACCTGGAGTGTCAAAATACTATTGGATAAACTAGCAGTGGGCGGAGTCACACAGACCAAAACAAAAACAGACATTCCGACACGGAACGCACATTTCAAAGTAGGATAACTGGCTGTAGCACTGATTTTCAGAGAAACAAATATGTGAACTTATACCATATGTTTGCAGATATTCAGGAAACATGCTATGTATATGCTTTAGTATAGTCAGAAAAGTTGCAAAATGCATACCTTTAACTATAGCATTCTGAGCTACCACAGAGTCCTGGTATCACAACAGCATAACCAGACATGTACAGAATTTATTTGAAATCTAAATCTTTATATATTATAAATGTCTTTACTGACACTTTTTAGCAATTTAATCCATTCTTTGCGGAATAAAAGTATTCATTAATTTTTTTTTAAATCGTACTGAATATACGCTTCTAAATAATAGTGTATGCTGTATGACAAGGAATATTATTTAAAAAAAAATTCACATTCACACAGCTCTATTACCATTTTTTCCCCAAGCAATACCGTAGGTTGACTGGTCTCTGTAGAAAAACTTAAATAGGGTTAAGAAAAAAAGAAAACTTGTGACTGTTATATAAATGGCTCTCAGTTAACAAAGACTACTCTCAGTTTGAGAGAGGAAAAATAAAGGTGAAAATTTAAGTGAATCCTTGACCTGCACTTATATATATAACTTGGTGACTTGCAAAAGTGTCATAAGTGTGCATAAAAAAGTAACTGCACAACAAAAGCCCTGCTATAAAGGGTATACGGGTACTGCTATAAATAGTTACCAACTACTAAAACAAAAAAGCTCAAAAGTTAAACTATTTTTGCTTGATAGAAACAAAAAGATTTAAGGACCATGCCCCGAAAGGTCTTTACCCGTTACACAACCTTTCACCCTTCACTTCCCATCACGTTCGAAGCCTCACACTTTTCCATCTACTGCACGTCGTGAGCTGAGTCTCAGATGAACATTTTGTGCCTTGTGGCTGTCAAGGATGCGTGTTTGGAGAGGTCTGCTATCTCAAAGACTGAGAGAAAAAGCCACAGAGGACAGACTTTACTCACAATCCCTTCGACTGAACAGGACAAGTCTCTCCTTTTCTCTCTCTTTAACCCAGATGTGTCAAAGCTTCAGTCTGTGTGTGTCGAGGTTCCTGTTTACATGCATGCCTCCGGCCATAGAGTCTGCTAACCCAACCATGTGTTCACCACAGCATGTTTAGAGCTACAACATGCTCTACCCCCATGCGTCAATATGGTCTCTGCCCCTACAGGTCAGAGTTTGGGTTTTACTGTGCTTGAAGGCATCAATGCACGTTCAAATTCTGGAATCCTGTTTTTATAATTCCATTTGGTGGTGCAAAAATGACACAATTCACCTAGCTGGAACCACAACAGGTGTTCTGAGTCATCTGTTGTGTCTAACTGACAACATAACTCCACTAAAATGCCTATGTTAGGTCCCCAAATAACGTCCTGATGCAATTGATTGACTCTTTATTTGGGGGCGTTTGAATGGGACTCACATATCATTCTTCTGTAACAAATTTGGAAAGGTTAGGGCTTAGGAGGTTTGTAGAAGAGAGAGGAAGTATTTGTTAGTGCGTCTGAAGCACTGAGCAAGCATTACTCACAGTCTTAAATCATTCCCAGCTTGTGTCAGACGACTCTCTGCTGCAATCCAGCACTGGACTCTTTCAGAATTGCGCATTTGGTCATGTTTTAGAGTTGGGTCAGTTAAATAAGTTTTAAGGATCTATGTTTTACTGTTCAAAAGTTTGGGGTCGGCAAGATTTTTTTATGTTTTTTGAAAGAAGTTTCTTATGTTAACCAACGCTGCATTTATTTAATCAAAATTACAGTAACAACAGTAATATAGTGAAATATTATTACAATTTAAAATAACTGTTTTCTATTTGAATGTATGTTAAAATGTAATTTATTTCTGTGATCAAAGCTGAATTTTCAGCATCATTACTCCAGTCTTCAGTGTCACATGATCCTTCAGAAAATCATTCTAATATGCTGATTTGCTGCTCAAGAAACATTTCTGGTTATTATCAATATTGAAAACAGCTGCTTAATATTTTTGTAGAAATCATGATAATTTTTTTCAGGATTTGTTAATGAATAGAACATTTATAAGAACAGTGTTTCATTGAATTAGGAATATTTTGTATCATTATAAATGTCTTTACTGTCAGTTTTGATAATTTTAATGCATTATAAAATTATTAATTGAAAAAATAAATAAATTTCCAACCACAAAGTTTTGAATGGTTGGGCAGTTCACTTTGTTTTTTTATTGTTCTGCAACTTTACCCAACACGTCTGATTTTGAAGGTTTTGAATACATAGTGCCTGTTTTGAATTGGATCAATTTGGCCCACAATAAATTCATGCACTCTCTTAGAGTATTCCCATTTCTCTAAACAGCTGAATTGGGATAGCATAACTAAGGCTACACATAAGCATAATGGGCTTAATGCTTCTCATTGTTCTGGATGCAGTGTTAATAAAACGAAACATAATTAAAATGAGGTGGCACAATTACAGCAATTGCATTAGTGCATAAAGAGCAATATGTAAGATGCTCATTAAAATCATCGCATGCCCAAGATGTCCTCAGGGATTTGGTCCTTATATTTTCATGCACATCTCTGGCTGATATTAGCGAGTGATAAACAAATTACCACTGCTCGGACTTTCACACCTACATCCAGTCTGCTGTGAAGAATTCTTACTGGAAGACTTGCGAATCTTGGGCTGACTGTCAGCCATGGTCTATTGGTGCTTATGCCAACCACAGCCCTGTCAAAGATGGATGTCACAGAGCCACTTCTGTGTACGTGCTCAACCAGCGTATTGATTTCTTACTGTGGCACCTGTAAGCGCTATCTAAAGGGATGAAAGCAATCGCAGTGGAAAAAAAGCAGGCAGGCTTGAGACAACATTACAGTTCCAATGAAGAGTATCGGCTCTGACTCACACAGTGCCTGAGGCGAGGGACGAACAACCTTTATTTTAATAAAATAAACGTTCAACTACACAGTAAGATTCAAAGATATGATAAAATGTACCAATACAACAAAACACCCTGGGTGAATACGGCAAAAAATATAACAGATATCACCATACTTCTGCAGTTGATTGCTTATGTTAAGAATTGCAAACAAATGTTGTATTACAAGTTTTGTGAAATGTTGTTTGAATATGCAATTGATGCATTATCTAATTAGATGTGCATTAATTTGCATACATTTACAGAACAGAAATCTGAACACTACATATAGACAGGTTCAAAATTCTTGTTTCATTTGCTGATATATTAGAGTCAAAGGTTTTCACAGAGGGGATTTTGGATATGAATTTTTGTCACTCCATAAATACTGTTAACAGCCAGAAAAAAACCCTACTTTTGATATTCTTTTATTTAACCAGACAATAACATAAAAAAAACAGTGTGAGACAATTAAGTAATCACAAGAATGACATTATTAATTACAATATGAAGCCACTTAAAACACAATGATCTATTTTTATACTTTTTACTGGGATAAATCATATGCATTCTCTATATGAAAAAATATAATAATAAAGTCAAATAAAATAATTTACAAAATAGTAACGCAAATGAAAAATTACCCAACTCTCAGTAATTCTTCACCATGTTTTTAAGATTAAAATTTTGTATAAAAAAATCTCTGTAAAAGCATTAATATACATAGGAATGAAACGGCAAAGTCTGGTGCATGTAAGTACAAGTGAAATGGAGATTTCTGGCTCAGTGCAAGAGAAAAAAAATCATTGTGAGGAAACAGCCTTTTAATATGTGCATTGTAAATGCAATCTACAGATGCAGATAGATAAAAATAAACACTTAAAAGTGCATTTTGGATGTTTTCATTTCAAGAGCCTGAAACAGCATGTTATGAAAACCCCAAAAGCCCAGAAATCTTTGTGTCATTGGTCATGTATGTGACTTTCTGTAATTCAAATTTTTAGGTACTTCAATTAAAAAAAAAAAAAAACATGACACAATGAATTATCGATCACCTGTCCCATCAGGCCACCGCATGGCTTTCCTCTGAAAACACACTGAATTTCAAGAAGCACTGAAGGACTGTCCATATGGTGCCCACTGGTTTATATTTGATCAGAGACACGAAATCAGACCTCTGATCAGAATCCACAATCTCCATGAGTTTCTGCACAACTCCCGAAGCATATATGAACGATCAGTCATGCAAACGGGTTTCCCTGCGGGACCAGGCCCGTGGGGGAAA